AGGGGAGATCTAGTGGCCTGTTACAAACTAGTCAGAGGGGATCAGCAGGCATTGGGGGAGTCCCTGTTCCCCCAAGCACGCCCAGGAGTGACCAGGAATAACGGTCACAAGCTGGCAGAGGGGAGATTTAGGCTAGACATCAGGAGGTGCGACTTCATGGTCAGGGCAGCTAGGATCTGGGACCAACTTCCAAGAGAAGTGGTGCTGGCTCCTACCCTGGGGGTTTTTAAGAGGAGGCTGGATGAACACCTTGCTGGGGTCGTTTGACCCCAGTACTCTTCCTGCCATGGCAGGGGGTCGGATTCGATGATCTGCTCAGGTCCCTTCTGACCCTACGAACTATGAAACTCTCATAATACCTCCATGAAATATTTTAGGTCACTTCATTCATATCTGGGGCTGAATGCAACAGCTGTGAAACCAGATGTAACTACCCAGCTCATCAGTTTGGGACAGAAAGCCATATTTAATGGGAACTGCAGGGAAAGTGGAGAGAGACCATGCCGTTACTAGACTTTTATGTCAGCCATTGGCAGGAGGTTTCCTCACTTCCAAAAAAAAAAAAAAAAAAAAAAAAAAATTCTGGGACTATCTGTCACACGAGGTCAGAACCAGGGCTACACAAATCATTTTTGATTTGGTTACCAATTAAAAAAATAATAATAATCTAATTACATTTCCCCCCACTTTTCCCCCCAAAGACTTTTAAAAAAAGTTTTGACCCTAAATCCACATTGCTTTGCCCTAAAGTAATGTCATATCATTGTGGGCACTTTTTAAGGAAGAGACAACAAAATGAAGGGCTAGATTCACAAAAATCAAAGAGCGTGCAGGTAGCTAAGACATGGAGGCAGACTAATCAAGCTCAAAAACATGCTGTATTTGAGTGGTTCTTGACTTTTTTTTTTTTACTCAAGACCCCCTTTGGAAAATGCCAGCTCTTTGCTTTCATTTGTTTTTTTTTGACTACAGAAAAATGACAGTGCCGTTCTTCTGCTGTAAAGATCTTCCAAAGATCACAATGTTTCGGATCCTGTGATTTCTTTTTGAAAACTCTGGGTTTATCTTGTGAATCATGTTGGTGTTTGCAAACCTAACTCTTCTAATATTACACAGCAGCCCCTAATTAAATTATGACGTTATTTAATAATTAACATAATATGAAAAGGCTCTCACAGAAGCCCACGATGCCATGCAACCTTGGTTGAGAATCGCTGTTGTACCCGATTCACAGGGAGCAATCTCAGAGGAGAGTCCTAGCCATGGGCAACAGGATAATCTGTGACAGGTCTCTCATTTAACGTCTGTTACTAATTTATTGTCAGTGATCTTTGTACCAACCTGGCCGGATCCAGCTCAGTTGGCGGATCCACAGAGATCACAGCCCAAGGCAACATCGCTGCAAGGATGTCAAGCAGAGGCTTCAAATCACATTGACAGTTTAAAAAGCAAGTGATGTAAGAGGACTCAAAGGAAAGAATGACATTTTCCAGATCTCAAAGAGATCATTTATATTAAAACTACATTTGTATTAAACGTAATTTTCATTTCATTTAATATTTCATTTA